GCTGGACCGAGAAGGTGACCAATGTCCAATTTCTCCAACGAGTTGGCCAAAAACGCACGCTTATGGCAACTGTTAAACGGCGTAAAGTCTCGTATTTAGGCCATGTTCTTAGACATCAGAGATATGATCTCCTGCAGCTGATCATGATGGGCAAAGTTGCGGGAAAGAGAAAGGTCGGACGAAGGAAGAAGTCGTGGTTGCGGAACATCCGAGAGTGGACCGGGATAGCGAGCGCTGCTGAGCTGTTCCGCCGAGCTAAAGACAAGAGGGACCTGAACATGCTAATCGCTAACCTTCACTAGTTGGAGAGGCACCTTTAGAAGAAGAAGAATGACTGACCGTGGTTTTGATAGAAAAGTTTCGATTAAGCACTTGTATTTACTCGTATCGATTTATCCCTAGACGAGCTGACATAAGAAACGCGCTTAGCGCATTTTATTAGTACGATAGAACGATGGTTTTGTGTGTTTTTTGTTGAAATAAAACATTGTGTTTATCAAAAGTATGATATGTTAAATCATTTCTTATATTTTATTGATATGAATAAAATATTTTTATTCTTAAGTCGAAATAGGAGAAATAATTACAATCATACGAAATCGTAAAAATTCACAAATTCAAAAAACAAAAAGAAAATGAATTATCTATGACATTCTGTATCATTCAAATCGTCATTCGTTCCGAAAGCAATTGTGACTTTTAAAGTTACACAATTCCATAAATCACTATCACCACAACCACTATACGTTTGAAAATGATTGTGATAGATTAAAAAAATAGACAATTAGGCAACTGGTCATAGATTTATTTCCATGATGGCTTGTAAGTAAAAGATGAATTTGGAAAATGCTGGCCTCATCTCAACCCCGAGGTATAGTAAAAATGGAAAATTGCCCAGATCTTTAAGACTCCCTGAAATTCAAAGTTATACCAAAACTATTATATATATTTTTTAAATTTGTCTAGAAAATAAAATGTTCTTCACTGCTGCTTCTGTTATCCTCTCTTTTCTAATGTTATAATGAATGGAGTTATAGTTAGTAGTAAGGCGATTATAATCATGGCGGGGAACTACTAAATCGACAATCGAATCTTGGAATCGATGGAATCCCTCCTGCCAGGGAGATTTTTTCTAGAACGAGATAGAGAGAGGAATATAATCTAAGAAGTTTGTATTAGAGGTGGTTAAATTAGCGCTTAGCGTGAATTTAACACACTAAACGTACTTGTCAGCGTATCGATTGTACCACGATTATTCGATATTGATTCCCAAAACGAGAGTGAATTATTATTCACTCTGGTGAAACGTTAGACGATAGGCCATTATGTCGTGATTGTTTGATTAGAGGCGATAGAGGTCGGACGTCACCGACGGAGGGCGTGATCATCGATACTTTTAATTTTATTAGAATGGTTGCACTGACTTTGACAGTTCTTTAAGAAAAAGGAAGTTGTCGCCATTTCGACACACTGTTTCTGATCGTCGAGGAGTAAAGACATCCAACGACATCACGCTGCTCTCGTTATATTTTCACATGGAAAGTAATAAAATGGAATAAGTCCACATTGGTATACACGCCTGCAGTGTTAATTTAAAGATAGTCCTTCGATATAGACGATCTATTTGGACTTCGTAATAGCCCCCTGAGACTACCCGCCGACATACTTAATGCTTAACGCTGTTAAGTATGTACACGTTAAGGCGTTAAAAATTTAGCGTGTTAACGCGCAACGATCATTAGCGCCCGAGGCCGAAGGGGCAGTATCCGCGTGGGCGCGAACGCTAATGGACGCGTGGACGATTTATTCTCGCAGTACGTTTAAAAACATCGCGCGCGAAGCCGATCCTAGAATCAACGTGAAAGTGCGAATGTTAATGGACGCGTTAACGATTTACTCTAGGAGCATGTCTTTTTAAAACCCGACCTACAAAACAGGCCAGGCCCTACACTTTTCCACACTGAGTAGCAGGCCCTTGTTTTTTTTTTAATTTATCATACATACAAGTTCTCGCATTTGTATCTATCATACTCACATACTGTATATGACACTTTCATTCATCTTCTTTTATGCTTTTGCGGGGGGATTACCCGCCTATTCTACTATGTGTTCCTATTCTACTTTTATTTATTTTTATTTTCTATGGGATATGGATCTAGGTAGCATGTTTAATATAATCGTGTATTACTAACATAGTTTAGTTAGTTGATATTTTAAATTGTTTAGATTAAATTGCGATTATATGAGTAGATTAAATAAAAAATTATGATAGATAAAAAAAAAATACAAATTTAAATATATTTTTTGACATGATTAATAATAATAAGTACGTGTTTACAATAAAGATGACAATGTTAATAAATATTTGTGCAAATTTTAGTGATGATATTTAAAATTGTATTACGTATAGAAAACAAATGTACATAATTAATTTACTTTTATTTCACATGTATTAAAATAAAATATTAATATTGTTTACTATAGCACACACGCAGTCCAAAGATCGACATCTAATAAATAACGTGTTACGAGATTTAGTGTGCTGTTTGATTTAATGCGTTCGCCGCGCGCTCTTTCATTATATACTTAGCAAGTTAATAAATTAACGTATTAAGTAACACGCTAATTTTTCATAGCATTTAGTCTCGGCGTGTTAATGTATTTTAGTCGTTTTGAAGAACTCTAGTTCGTATTTGTGAGTTTGTGAATGAAATGGATGGATGAAGAAATTGACAAAATTTTGTCTATCCAGGTAGATTTTGCAGTTGTTTTGTAATTTAATGAGAAAAATAAAAGATAAATTCTTTAGAGACTATTTCCGATCTGTTCGGTATACGTCGATTTTGAAATAGATCAAAATCAAGTTGAGTTTTTAAAAGTCAATTTTCGTTAATCGTATTGACATAGGATGTATGGAATCCCTCTTACCATGGAGATTTTTTCTAGAACGAGATAGAGAGGAATGAATCTATGTAGTTCGTGGTAATGAAGTATTTAAAAATTATAGATTAGTTCTTCAAATCATACTAGATGTCACTCGCGATTTTCGGATTTTGTTTATGATATTCATTCAAATTTCATTTATGACGCAATAAAAGTAAATTGAGTATCGAAAATTAATAAATATGACATCGTTTTGTGTTTCTTATAATATCTAACTTTCAAACTAATTTTAATTTATTTTAAGCGTAAGTTTAAGTTGTTTATTATGTTACGTGTAAAGGAACAATGTTTGGTTGATACGTCAACATTAGTGATGAGCCAACTTATGGTTGCTCGTAATTTTCATTCGAATTCAGTTTTGGAATAAAGAACAAAAATGATGATGAAGATGAAGTGTCATTATGCATCAACAAAACGAATGATATTCTAGGCTGTTGCATAGTACTTGTGAAAGTCGAAAACTTTACCAATAGTTCACAAAACTAAGGCGGGAGATCTCGTACTGACAAGAATCGGCAAGAAACTCAGCAAGGGCTGCTTTTTTAATTTCAACTATACAACTCAACTATACTCTATTTAAGGGAGCGTAACCACATAACGCACACGATACCACCGCAGAGATTTTAAGAGAGCATGACTACTCTTGGTACTTAGTAAATAATATATTTCAATAAAACTGATTTGCACATTACACTTAGCACAAACGTCATTTTAGCCAGCAGTCATGTTATTTCGTACGAATACATAGTATATTTGATACACGGGTAGTATATAGATAATAAACGGATTTTTTATTATAATTATCGTTTTAATGACTTTTGTTACTGATTAATAAACCCTATTCATCCATTCACCATACATAATATAAAAATATTATTGAGACTTGATGAAGTTTTGTTGTTATAAGTTCAACAAACAACTAATAGCAATAAAATTAATTTACCTAGTTGTTATTGTTTTCAGAACTTTTGTTAAATATTATAATTAAAAATTCTTAGACCTACTATGGTATAAGTTTATTTATAAAAACTATTTGGTGGTAATATTATTGTATACCGTAGCTAAATGCCACTTTTAATTATATCACAGCATTAATTCAACTGATTTCAGTAAATTCAAAAAGCCTCTGTGCTCACTTCCATTATGTTAGTTTCCATTTTTTTCTATACAAATAAAAAATAATTTTATTCAGAGATTACTTTGTATTAATCGAGTTGCGTTTGCATAACTCGAACTACTAGTTAAATTTCAACACGATATTAATCCGAGTATTATACTATAACGCGTGATATCCATCTATTTTTTAAACGGAACTTAAAAAAGCAGTACGCTTTTCGTTGTTGAAGGAAGTGCACATTGTGTTGAATGTTAGTTAATTGCTGAACTTAAATTGTATGCGTAAATAAAATACTCCTTAAATAATGACTTTTGTTGATTCCTAAATTAACAATGTAAATAAGTTTTGTTATGAGGTGATGGTGTGTATATAAAACATTCTAAATATTATTGAACTGCCTTAGTTTTAAGATTGTGTAAGTAAACGGTAATAGTATTGTGGTCTTGTAGTATACATGAAAACCGTCCTTTTGAATCACCCTATCTATGAAAAAAAAGCCGAATCAAAATCCGTTGCGTGGTTTTAAAGATTTAAGCATACATAGGGATATAGGGACAGAGAAAGCGACTTTGTTTTATACTATGTAGTGATAACATAATGTTGCACGCTTATTATAACGATTTCCAAACGTCAGTTGAAAAAAAAAGCGTTTAAGCAATAAGTAGTTTTTAAAAACGCTTTTTAAAAATCGTACAACGTAACAACGCTTAAAAATTTTAAGCAGATATTTTGCAGTTTTTCCACCTCTAGTGTTCTCTGAGTTTGTGAATGAAATGGTTGAATGAAGAAATGGACAAAATTTATATAAATTCAAACAAAAATAGTGGAAGGAAAACACGTCAGAATTAACAGTAACAGTTAAAAATTAAGGATTTGTGCAATTTTTTCGGAATGATTTGAGTAAATCACTTGTTTTACATACGAATATCTGTACTAAAAGATGATCGAAGACAAAAAAGAAGGACGAAATCAGCAACTTACGAATCCTCACCTCAAAAATGACCATATATTAACTGTGTTAATATGTGCAATTTCAATACCGTTGTCAATGTCTATGTGGATATTAAATATTATTTATTCCAAGTTTTCACAAGACGGAGAAGGACACGACGGTATTATTTATTTTAAAAATTACTTTTTAATTCTAAGCTTTAAATCAAGTTCAAATAAGTATTTATAGCATATGTAATATTAAACTAAATGCTTAATATAAAATATTAACTATGTGCAATATACATGTTAAAACATTTTCAAGTGGATTTGAATAGTGTTAAATGTAAATAATATTGACCTTTGTTCTTAATGTATTAACTTAGACAGTACAAAAGACTAGTAGTTAAATTATGTTTCTGTATCTTATAGTATTATCTGAATTTGCCAAGTCAGAAAATAAATAAAAAAATAATAATTTCAGAACCAGTGGTAATATCACCTGCAAGATGGATGGTGTCATGTTTTATACCCTTATTGATGGCAGTTTATGGCTATAGAAGGAAAAGTGTTAACTTTGGTGGTGCGTGCTTAGGTTTTGGTGTGGGTCTAGTGCTCACATTAAGTAGTTACTGTTTCTTGGCAGCTCTTATTACTTTCTTTATCACATCATCAAGAGCAACGAAAATAGGTTCTAATATCAAGAAAAAAATTGAAGAAGAATTTAAAGAAGGTATTGAAAATGTAAAATATGTAATTATTCATGTTCATGAAGTAGCTACAAACTATGCTTAACAAATGTTTGTATACAGGTGGCCAAAGGAATTGGATACAAGTACTTTGTAATGGTGGCATGGCTACTCAACTAGGATTATTGTACTTATTAGATGTTGGTGCTACTGAAAGGCCTATAGATTTTATTAAAGATTACAGAGCATCTTGGCTCTCAATAGGTGTACTTGGTAAGTTCAAATATATTTATAGTTTTTTATATATCTTGACTCCTGGTCTCACAATTTGTTTCAATTTTAGGCTCATTTGCCTGCAGCAATGGTGATACCTGGGCATCAGAGTTGGGTAGTGTCTTTGCAAAAACTGATCCCTTTCTAGTAACATCATGGAAAAGAGTTCCAAAAGGAACAAATGGTGGAGTCTCACTTCTAGGAACATTATTCAGTGCTGCTGGAGGGCTTATCATAGGCATATCATATTATGTTGCAATAATTTATTTTTCTGATAAAGCTTTATGGGCTAATGCTCCTCCTCAATGGCCCGTGATTGTGTTTGGAGGTTTTGCTGGGTTTCTTGGCAGCTTAATAGATTCTTTGATGGGAGCAACTTTACAATATTCTGGTGACTATCAATATTAATGCCTCTGTGGATATTATTTATTTGAATATATTATTTAAATTTTGTTATCTTTTCCAGGTTTAGATAAAGATGGAAAAATCGTATCACATTCCAGTCTCACAATTAAACATATTAGTGGTAGAAATATCCTTGACAATCATAGTGTAAATCTCATTTCGACTGTCATTATGGGTCTTCTTATGCCCACTTTATGTAAATGTTTGTGGCCCCTATTTTAAACATAAAAAGGCAGGCATAGATGCATGTATCATTGTTTATTTTTGTGTTAATTCAAAATTATTATTTGTTACTAAAGAAGTAAAACTAAGTATAACTTTCAGATGCTGCTTAAAATCGTCCTTTTTATAATTTGATTAATAAAAATTGTATTATGGAGTGAGTATATTGATGTGTTCATGTTATTTGTTAAACAGACATACCTATTAACTTGTACTTAGCTGTTTTTATAATGCTAATGTTATTGTTTTTTTTGTACCTTTTTAATGAAACTGTTAGAAATACATTAACATTGTTTTTTTTTCCTTTAGTTGTTTATTTAGTATCTAGTAAAATATGACTTCAGGTCCACCCTGGTTAAATGAATAATAGAACTTGTCCATCTCATTAAACAATGATGATTCTTTTATAACTTTTACCCAGTGTTGTTGCCCTCTTATCTCAAAAATGGTTGGATGCATACATATAAAAGGTTTAGCTAAGAACAAAACTCATCACAAATTTATGCAGATAATGGTTAAGAATGAATTTGACAGATTTGTATTACTTGACTTGCTACTGGCTGACTTGTATGTTTCCGCAGAAATTGTAAATAGGTAGGTGTTTTGTACAACGTTTAATGAAATCAAACGGAAATTTAATTTTATGTTTTGTTCAGTCAATAGCACGTGAGGTTATACATACCTGACAAATTTTCCCATTCGATTTTAAATCTTAATTCTTTGAGATACAATGTAAAATATTTTTTAAATTCTGACGTGCAGCTGTGTATTCATTAAACGTAACCACCCGTGCGCTGGGTAGTTGCATTTTTCGTATTTGGTGAAAGTTAAAAACTGAGAGAAAAGTGAGAGAGAAACTCTAGAAGAAGAAGAAGAATAACAATTTGTCTATAACATCATAATAAAACTTTAATCTGTATAATTTGTCTCTGCGAATATTAAACACAGGACGTATATTCTTTGTATTATAAAAATATTATATTGCGTTGGGTTAAAGTTTGCCAGTAGAGCATAGATTTGGTAACCTGAGATCAAGATTAATAAATAAAGTTTGTCTTTAAAGGGGCTGTCATAATTTAAATTAACATATCATCTTGTATTATTAACAATTATTTAACTTGTAAAAAGATAATTTGTATGTAATACTTAGACTGAATTTGAGACTGCACTTGTTCTATTTATTTTTTTTATTTTATAATATGGCAGGCACGGCTTGTGCGTTTTGCCAATGTCAAGTAAAAAATTTGGGAACGAATAGGAAAGAAATCGGATAAGGAAGGATGGGATCAGGAATGTATGGTATTTATAATCTTAAATCTGGACCTGAAAAGCATTAGGTCGGATGTGCAGAACCAGCTAAAATCACTTATCGCCATAACGTTGCTACACTCTTTTTTCTCTTTCCGGCAAATTAACTCTTGTATGTTTGTGCCTTTTTACTCATGAGCAACAGTCATGCATAAAGTCGGATCAGACGACTTTTTCAAATATTTTGATTGCATTTAGCTATTTCTGTTTTTATACAGTTATGCCTAAGATTCCCGACATCCGACCTAATGCTTTTCAGGTCCAGAAATATACTATATATATTACCATTTTTTACAATTTTATATTATTGAGTATGAGATATGATACATTTATATATTGATTGATCATAAGTATGTAATAGTGTAGCTATGTTAGTCGGGAATGGAACACGAAGGGATGTTAGGTCTTGCCAGAGGGAGGATCTTTGGAATTTAGGACAGGAGAAAATAATATGATTAACTGTTCCTTCATCTGATCCACAGTCACACCTAGGATCGTTGATTATATGGAGTTTAGCTAAATGAGAAGGCGCAGAAGAATGACCAAGTCTCATACGTGTAATCATAGAAGTTTCTAGCTAGCCACACTTCATTAAGAAAAACCAAGGTTTCAAAGGAATATGATTTTGTATCTGAGCATAAAATTTACCTTTTGTCAATTTACTGATTTCCCACATTTGCTCCCATTTCTCGCGTAATATTACTTTTGGAATTGCTAATAAATCTGAACAATAGTTTTGAAAAGGAAAAACATCTCCACATGATACTGCCTCATTAGTAAGCCTATCAGCTATAATATTACCCTTTATACCAACATGAGCTGGAACCCAGGCAAATTCTACATGAACTTCGTTTTCAATACATTTTTGTATCATTGTCTGATGTCAAAAATAACGGGAGAATAACATTTTAATTTAAACGGGAATTTTTCTATCGACTGTAAAGCACTCTTTGAGTCTGAAAATATTATAACAGATTTAAGTTTTATGATTTTACTGTATTCTAAGGCTTTGAATATGCCAAAACATTCTCCTGAATACACGGATGATTTTGGAGGGAGTTTTACTTTCTGAACTATTTTATATTGAGAATGATAAATACCGATTCCAACGCAGGTAGATGTCGAATGTTTAGAAGCATCACAAAATATGTGGTGATAGTCATTGAATTTGCTGTCAATCGCGATTTCAAAGTTTAATTTAGCGTTTAAATCAGATTTTTCAACTATGTCATAATGAATAGTAGGTGGAAAAATTAATGATTTATAATCGACATTAAAAATAGGAAGGTAATTTGATACATAAGTAGGAGAAGAAAGGGAGATGAATTTCTTATAACTAACAATGAGACATGGTGGAGTTTTATGTGTCCAATAGCTTGAAGTAGAAAATAATTCATAAAGTGCCTTAATCTTAGAAAGAAGTGGATGATTTGAACACTGAATAGTACGAAAAAAGAATTTGTCACAAATATATTGCCGTCTTAATTATAGGGGGGGTTCACAGCATTCTATTTGTAAAGCGTTTCTTGGGCTCGACTTCATGGCTCCCAATATTATCCTCAGAGCTTTATGTTGAATTTTGTCTAGCTTCCTAAGGGCTGTAACATTACCTGGTTCTAGCAAAAATGTACCGTAATCTAAAACACTTCTAATAAGGGCGTTGTAAATCAACTTTAAAAAATATGGATGAGCTCCCCACCAAACACCTGAAAGGCATCTTATCATATTTAATAAGCGTTCACATTTATCAGCAACATATACACAATGGCGGGTGCCTGAAAGTTTCGAATCTAAAACTATGCCTAAAAATTTCGCGTGATCTTTAACGGGAATAGCAGCATTATCATACTTTAGGGAAATAGGAGGGAGTTTATTTTTACGCGTATATACTACGACAGCACTTTTAGAAGCAGACAGTTGTAACCCATTATAAGTAACCAATATTTTAAATTAGATAAAGCAGATGTTAATTTAAGAAGCGAATCCTCAATGGAATGACTAATATAATACAATAAAAGGTCATCGGCGTATTGAAGTATTTTGATATATTTATTTAAGCAAATATTATCTTTTAAATCGTATGTGTAAACATTATACAGAATAGTACTAAGGACTGACCCCTGCGGAAGGCCTTTTGAAACAGTCCGAGAATAAATAATATTGTCGTAATATATTTCTATTTTGCGTTCTGTTAAAACGTTGAGAATAAAATTTATGAAATGAGAAGGTAAAGAATACCTAAAGATAATAGTTTAATTTTGAGAATATCTAATAAGACATTATCATACGCAGAAGATAAGTCTACAAAAACAGCTGTTACCGAATCGTTATTAGAGAAAGCTATGCGAATATCTCTAGTGAAGATAGCAATATTATCGAGTGTGCTTCTACCTTTTCTAAAGCCATACTGAGTATTGGCTAAAATGCCTTTACTTTCTAGAAACCAATCTATACGGTTTTTGATTAAATGCTCCGCTAGTTTGAGTAAAACCGAAGACAAAGCAATGGGTCGATATGAAGAAGCTTCAGAAGGAATTTTATTTGGTTTTAAGATTGGCAACACTGTTTGACGTTCCCAAGATGAGGGGATATCATTACCTGAGATCATTGACGAGTTTATTAAATCTAAATAATATTGTAATGTATTATTGCAAACGTTGGAAAGAAAAGCGTATGGGATACCGTTGCTCCCAGGGGCAGAGTTTTTCGTATTTTGGATGATACCTTTTAATTCATATAAACTAAACGGAGCACTAATATCAGAGTCAGCTAAGGAAGAAGAGATGGAGATATTGTTCGAAACCCAGGGAGGAGCTAATTTATCTAAGAAAGGGTTTATTAGCTGTGGTGGTATCATTGATGAAGAGTTGTTATTGACAGCTGATTTGAATCTTTTAATGTTTTGCCAAACTAATGTTGGAGGAGTGTTAGGGGAGATAGAGGTACAGAACCTACGCCACCCTTCAAATTTTTTTTGTTTAAAAAGTTTTTTAGTTTTTGATATCAACTCTGACATTTTATCATAATTAGATTCAGTCATATTTTGTTTATATAATTTCTCAGCAGCTTTTCTTTGTTTCACAGCTTCCGTACACTCATTGTCCCACCACGGAGGAGATGGAATTTTATTGGGGTAAACTTTTTTAGGGAAGACTTCATTAGCTGCATCTATAAAAAGATTACTCAAAGCTTCAGCTCTTTCAGGCTCGGAACTAGAGTTGATGTTAGGGAGCAAATATAATTTTGACTGAACTGAAGTTGTGAATTTTTCCCAGTCTTTACTGTCTTTATTTGGAAGCCTATGTTTGAGATGGGAGATTCGACAGGGGTTTGAAGGTTTAGAGAAAGGAAAAGTTTAATAATAGGATAATGATCACTACCATACGATGAAGAAAGTATCTGCCAAGAAAGAGAAGATGCAAGACTAGGAGAACATAATGACAGATCAACAGCAGTTTTATTTTGATTTGGTTTTGTTACACGTGTAGCTTCACCAGTGTTTAAGATACAAATATTATGACAATCAATGATGTCTAATAATTCATCTCCATAATTGTTTGTATTAGAACTGCCCAACGATTGATGATGGCAATTGAAATCACCTAGTACTAGAAAAGGTTTGGGCAAATTATTTAGAATTAAACGAAGTTCATTAAAAACAGGAATAGATGGATGGGAAATATATATAGACA